GATGACAAAGAAATTGATCTGGAGCATCTCCACAGACGTGTGAACAGCCTCTGCACAGACGATGAGAGCCCCCATAAACAGTTTTCCACCTCATCCATTGACTTGACTCCCCTGGACATTGATACTTTGCCCACCCGTCAAGCACTGGAGCAAATCAGTGACTTCAGGAACACTCATATCACTACTACAACCTTCATACCAGAGCAGATGCAGACTCTCAGTCGCACACTTTCAGCTAAAGCTGCTTCTGGATTCTCCTTTGGCAGTGTGCCAGAACACCGAACTGGCCCTTTTCGGCATAGGGCTCCAAATGGGGGCTTCTTCCGAAGTCCGATCAAAACAATGTCCTCAGTTCCATATCAACCAACTCCAACTTTAGGGCTCAACATCGGTAATGATCCAGACCGAGGCACCTCCATATAAAGCTTCAGACTTTGTTTTGTCACTGTTTCTTTCTAGGACTCCCTTTGCAAGGAGCAGCTGTGATAATTGTGGGACTAACATGGATGTAACTTTTTAAAAAAAGAAAATCAGGAGTACTCGTAACAACTCACTACCCTTTCTCTTCCCCTCCTCTTTTTCGCTTTCTCTCTTATACTATGTAAGGTCATAATATTCAGCCCATAAGCTCTAGAATAGTTCAATTGGCCAAACTAGTTTAACTCTGGAGTAAGTTGAGCTCTAGAATGTATTGCAGCCCTAACTTTACAACTATCAAACCAACTCATAATGGCCAGTGAGAGTATTCTGACATAAATGCAACATGAAACACTGTCAAAAAGCTATCCTGCCACCCTCCTAATATTCTGTTTTTTAAAAATTGCACATTTCATAAACTTGAAGTATAGGAAATGGACACCAAGTCTGTATCAAATATATGGGTTATTTAAACAGAAGACATTTGCATCATCTCTCCTTTGTTCTGATATAATTGCAATAACTTCTGTCTTTTCTCTAAGTTCTGCTGCATCCGTTCCATGTTTCAGTGCTACTGTGTGTCCTTTTAACTGTGGACCAAAGGCAAACCGTGCAGTTTTACAGGAGAACAAACATGAGAGAAAGGGGAAAGAGAAGGGAGAGATAATCAGGCCACCTAATAAGAGAATGTGTTTTTGTAGGACTTCAAGAAGCCATTGCTATGCCAGTAAAGACTACAGTTAAATCTCCTTTTTTTGCACTGCAACAGTGCATATGACCTTTATGTGATTGTATAGTGTTTAAAAGGGTTTTTTTCTTATGTACAGTAAACTGTATCATATAGCAGAATCTTCTGTTCTGTTAAATAAATTAGTATCGCATACATTTATATATAAACATATATACATATATATACTTTGGTATATGTGTATATATATGTGTGTATGTGTGTGTGTATACACACATACACACACACATACACACACATGTATATATCTATAAAATGGCAGCCAATGCTACTGCAATTTGTCTAATAAAGCTTTAGTAAAAACTGTGTTGTATACTGGAAAGATATATAGGTAGGGGGTCTTTTCAAAACAGAAAAGGCAGGGTGCTTTAATGTTATTCTTATTTGCATTGTTTGATAGAGCATATTTTATACTTTTTTTATTAGAACATCCAGGGCAATGTTACGTTTGTACCTAGATGTGCAACTCTTTTTGTTCAGGTTTTTGCATTGGCTGTTCAGCAGTGTGTGTAAGTCTAACCTTAACCATCTATTTTTGAATTAATCTGATAAAATGGGAAACATTCTTTGGTAGAAACCACTGACAAAGGCAGCTGATTTTTGAGTTCTCAGGGGCTCGAAAAGCAGATAATGGAAGGTTAATAAATCCTCCTCAAAATCAATACTGTCAATCATTGCAAGTATGGTATGAGTTGGGAAAGGGAAGCTGTTGAGAAATAATGGTGTGGCCTTAATTGCGATCCTGTATTACTCCAAGAAGTGAAAGGAAGAAGAATGAGCTCTTGTTTAAATCTTTATTACATATTCAATTATAGATGTATTTTTGATGTGAGTGCCAGTTGTATAGAACGATAAACTGATGACAGCAGAAATAGTGCCTCCTTTGGCAGGGCGGCATTCTTGAAGCTAACACTCTTCTCTGTTTAGAACTGTAAAATGAGCTTTCAGTTGTAATCCTTAAGAACTAAAATGCAATTTAAGTAGAAAGCAAGCCAACTTATCCTGTGTTTTATTTTACTTTTATTTTAAAATACTTATTTTAACCTAACTCAATTACGTGGCTAGGACTTGGTTATAGGAACCAACTTTAGATGACCTGCTATAGAAGAAATTTCAAGGTATATTCTTCAAGATCTATTCTATTTTGATGCTTAATACTGTTCTGGGAAGCATCTTGTACTGTCACTGTTTTTTGTATGAAATCTTCATAATATTGTCTACTGTGTAAGGCAGAACAATTTTCTTATCATGCAAAAGGCCATTTTGTTTCCCAGGGTACAAGTGTTTAAAAGCATGCACAACTTGTTTCCCCTTGTAACATTCATGAGCATCTACACAACTGATTTTTTTTGAAAAAGACAAGAAAAAGACAGCCAGAGTTTTCTTTACAACAAGCTGTAGGGATATACCAGGTGTTGCAGTGATTTTAGTGATAATAAACCAATTATTTCAATGTGTTGCCTATTATACTGATACACAAACAGATTTTGGAGGCCTCAGTTACAAGTGGCAGAGCTTTCTGTGTATAATTTGTCTAAATAATTTGTCTAATAAAATTGTTTTCTAAACTTGCTCCTCTGCCTGTTTTCACTAACCTGTGTGCAAGCTAGAAACTGTGGCCACCAAACATAGCTCTGCAGGGTTCTAAGCACACATTTACCTGGATCCACATAATGATGGAACCAGCTGTTAGCTTACCAGATACATAATTACAACCAACTGTCTGTTAATATGGTATTAGTTAAAGAGATAAGAGACTATTTGCAAGCTAGGCATAACAAGTGATTAAAGAAAACAGACATAACGCCTCCTATATCCTCCCATTCTCCTCTAAAAGATCTTTTTTTTTCAAGATAATTTTTGTCTCCCTTGTCTTGCTTCCATTTTATAACAGGACTGTAGGGGCACTTTTAATCATCTTGAATAGTATGGCCCAAATAATCTTGTAAATGAGTAAGTACTTGTTGCATGAATCTCTTTTGTGTACATACAGCTGTCCTTGACTTGGAATTCTGAATATGTTGCTCTGTGCGCATATTCAGCATCCTATGGACATGCCAGTCTGCAGGCTGGGTGACACGAGCATACTTAAAGAGTAAATTGAGTCACAAATATACAGTGCAAATTATTCAAAAGTTTCCATTTATTTCAGTAAAGTTGTGCTATTAGAAGTTCCTGATAGATTTTGCCATTGGTTCAATTAATGTTTTCTGTTTCTACACTTCCTTATTTCTAGATGCCATCTCCTAAAGCATGACTGTCTGGCTTCCATTAATATTTTGTCATGGAACCTTTGAAAAATCCAATGCCCTGTGCTCCCAACTCTGTTAGATCTTACAGAAACACATGCGGTAAAAATCTTCAAATGTGTGTGACAAAAAATGGCAGAGAAATGGTTTGAAAACTCAAGCCAGGTAAATATCTGCACCAGCAGGGAGCCCCTATTTAGAATCAATCCTCACTCCTTCTGACAGTTATAGGCAGTGACTTATATTGTACATGGCAATATACGGATGCCAAGCATCCTACTGCAAACAGCATGAGAGTGACTTGTAAAGAATTCTTTAGGCATTTTAGGATCAGGAATCCAGCCAGGTAAGCAATTGAAACACTGGATGACAAGGAAGTTAAAGAAGTACTGCAAGAGGGTAAGGAAAGTGCAGAAAAGAAATGAATTATTTTCTTCGGTCTTCAGTGTTGAAAATACAGTATAATTCTACAATATGCCTAACAGGACGGAGTGGGAGAAATATTCATGCCTGGGAAATATTCATGCCTGGAAAAGACACTCATGCACAGGTACCTCTGCGTGAACTGACACTTTCAAGAAAAATAAGGAGGCAAACAGTTGTAAAGTTCTAGAGTCTAGAATCTAGCCTTTACTGACAAACTATAAATAAGTCACTAGGTAGCCATCTAGTAGCCATATGAATGTTCTTAAAGAACTCCAGTATGACATTTCTGATTATGTAACATATTAGATCAGCCTCTATACAAGAGGATTGGAGAGAGGCTAAAATAATACCAATTTTTTTAAAAGGGGGATCCAGGAATGTGCTTGGTAATTTCACCCTGATTAGTTCCATGTAAATTGATAGAAAGTGTTAATATCATAAAATGGTCAAACACAGAAGGACAAGGCCTGAAAATGAAGAAGAATCAACATGGCTTCTCAAAAGTAAGTCCTGTCTCTCTATCCTTTTAGCATTTTTTTTGAAACTGTCAAACATGTGGACAGAAAGTTTCTTTTGACAAAGCCCCTCATCAAAGACTCTGAGCAAACTTAGCAGTTATGGGATAAGCAGATAAAATAATCTTGTGGATTGGAAACTGGTTTTAAAAACCAAGAAGCGTGGAGTTGGGATATATGGTGACTTTTGGAAATGCAGAAATATGAAAACATTTAAATTATGGGATTTTCTACCACAAGAAGTGGTAAGGGCTACCAACTTATCTTCAAAAGAGGATTGGATATGCCCATGAAGGTAGGACTTTCAGCAGCTACTACTGATAATGGATACATACACCCAAACCATATACACCTTCCAGGAACTGGGGCATCCTGCCTTATAATGCTAGAAAGTGTGAATGGGAGGGTGCTGCCCACTTACATTATGATTGCAAATTTCCCATGAACAAGATATTGCTATCCAGTTTTGATACATGGTGAGCAAAAGTCATCCAGTCCAAGAGCTATGTTACATAATGTGAAAACTGCAGTCAACTGATGGCACAATTTTATAAATACAGAAGTAAAACACTGATAAGTTTGTGTGCATATGGTTATAAAAGTCAAATTATTTATAGAATATTAGATTAACACTATTCTGCTGGTCCTAAGAAATCTGTTAGAAATAGGAGCCTCGTGGCGCAGTGGTTAAACCGCTGTACTGCAGCTAAAACTGTGCTCACAACCTGGGGTTCAAATCCCAGGTAGCCGGCTCAAGGTTGACTCAGCCTTCTATCCTTCCGAGGTCGGTAAACTGAGTACCCAGCTCGCTGGGGGGGCAATGTGTAGCCTGCATAATTAAATTGTAAACCGCCCAGAGAGTGCGGTATATAAGGAGCACACTTTCCTTTGCTTTTGCTTTAATCATAGGCCAATCCAAAATCTGGCATATGAACTTCACATGTTTAAAATTACCATCTCTGAATATGGGCAAATGATTCCTGCAAAACTGAGAAATTAAGGATGCAATCCTATACACACTTTATTGTTTTTGTTGTTTAGTCGTTAAGTCATGTCCGACTCTTTGTGACCCCATGGACCAGAGCACGCGAGGCCTTGTCTTCCACTGGCTCCTGGAGTTGGTCAAATTCATGTTGGTAGTTCTGATGACACTGTCCAACCATCTCATCCTCTATCGTCCCCTTCTCCTCTTGCCTTCACACTTTCCCAATATCAGGGTCTTTTCCAGGGAATCTTCTCTTCTCATGAGATGGCCAAAGTATTGGAAGCTTCAGGATCTGTCCTTCCAGTGAGCACTCAGGGTTGATTCCTTTCACGATGGATAGGTTTGTCCTCTTTGCAGTCCAGGGGACTCTCAAGAGTCTCCTCTAGCACAATTCAAACTCACGAGTCTCCTCCAGCACCACAATTCAAATATACACACTTACCTAGCAGTTACTATTGAGTAGACTAGAGATGCATAGGATTCCAGTGTGAAAGTCGCATCTGCCTATTCATTTGTCTTTTTTATGTTCACTTTCCTTCTTCCCACAATAAGCGTAACTGGGAACATTTCTAGTAGTAGGAACTAAGCCCCATTTGAAAATATAATTGAAATATTATGGAGACTCACATCCAGTCATAAAATGAATGCAAATGCATGTTTAGAAGGTCTTTCTATAAGAGTACCTACACAGATCCAAAGCAATGCAGTATTTCAGGTGGCTGTGAAACTACCTAAGAGCCGCCACCACTTCTTGTGGTAGGAGCTATAGCAAATGATGGAAACCCATTTAAACCCAATCCTACTAAAATTCTAATGTGTACTTTTCATCTGAGAAAACCACCATCATCTCAGAAACTTCAGGTTACCTGGAAGGCTCCCAACCAGTTTATTGTTTTGTCCCCAAATATGTCGATTTTATTTTGGATTGCATAACAAATACTGCCAAAGCACAAAACAAAAAGGTCTGTACAAGGAACAATATTTTTC